CCCGCAACACAATTCTGCCAATAGTTTCCCATATGAATTACAGTGATTGTCTTTGGAGTTGCGTGATTCAATTTCAAATGAACCGTTAGGAGGACAGGTAGATGGGAAAAAATCTTCTAAAACTGACGTGTTTTTTATATAATCATCCAAATCACCAATTCTAGCATTGAAATCGCCACATAATATTATGCTCCCTAATTTTAAAAATTTGTAAATATTTTCCTGAAGAGATTGAAAATGGTCGCGGTCTAGACGACGTTCTCTAGGCGAGTTTTGCGGAGGAATATAAACACTACATATAAACAAATCTCGTTTCATGTGAAAAAAATATTTGTCTAATTTCCACCAAATAAACTGTTTATTACTTTCTTTATCAAAAAATCTGATCCCTTTTCTCAACTCTGATCTCACCAACACAGTTATACCACCCGAGTTCCTCCAAGCTCTATCATGTTTTTTTTTGCCTACACTTGGAAAAAGAATAAAAACCTTGCATATTTACTGTACTATTATTTTTAAGCCAATTCTCAACAAGAGTAATGCAGTCGAAAGAATTAATTGTTGTTAGAAACTCCTCATCATCCAGTTTTCCCAAAAGTCCTTCAATATTCCAGGAACAAAATTTTAAAAGTTTTTTTAACTGCATTAACTAATTCTTACAATAACCAAAGACGTATATGTACCTGCAACACCTTCAGAACTAAGGTATGGAAGGCTGACTAACAGCCGAACTATATAGTGGAAAAAAAGATGGAGAAGCTGTAGACTGCGGATACATCATTCCACATCGCTGCAAGTTACTTGACACTAAAACATTAACTAATTTATTTAATGTACTTAGCTGGGAAAAGACATCATTGATTCCATTTTCCTTCTTTGTTTCGTGTTCTTTGCTGACTTCGATAGGCTGTGTAGCAATACCATCCTATTTTCTCCGCATATCTTCTGGTCCAAGTAGGGGATTTACGGAGCTTCCATAACGGTGTTGAGGGTATGGAACACGATCCTCGGGTCGGATCGGATGCGGATCATCACTGTGGTAGGATGAATAACGAGGGTGAGGGTATGGAGCACGATCGTCAGGTCGGATCGGATGCGGATCACCACTATGATAGGATGGGTCGCGTGGCTTGTTGTCCACAACGCCGCTTGCGATTCAAATTGCTCCTTTTATATTCGCTGCAAACTTACGAACACCCCGATTTCTATTTAAGTGCTTACTGTCAAAATACAGGGCTCTGTCTCGTAGGTTATCATTGTTCGCGTAAATGGCATCATTGAAATTTAAAATTTCGCTTTGGATTGCTCGGTTTATTGCCCGAATGTCTTCATCGAAATCGTCATCTCGTGGAGTAACACTCGAAACAATGATCTTTTTTCCCGGAAATGCCTTTCTAGCTGTATCTACCATCTCTAACTGCTTCTGAATAACCTCATCTATAATGTTAAGTGTTCAACATCATTAACACCTGTATTTATTATAAGCGCTTCGTTTACCTGGAAACGTGGTGAAGACATAATTTTAATTGGTTGACTGGAAGTACCACAAGGGATGATTTTTACCGTTCTGTTAGGGCATAACAGCTGGGTGTTGATGAATTTTCTGCTGGAATCACATAGAAAGACAAAATCGTACTCTTCTGGGCTTCCTTGATCAATCATCTTTTTTTCTCCTTGGTTCTCAACAGTTTGCTCATTGGAATCACCGCTTTCTGAAGGATCGGCTTTTTTAGTTGGTATGGGACCACTTTCTTCTTTAATTATTAGGACTTCGGGTTCATTTCTGTCCGTTACATTGGCGCTTAGCTCGTTCTGAACGGCACGTCCCGATTCTCTCTGCACTGCATCATCTTTTGTATTATTTTGTAATTCTTCGACTTGGTCTGATAATGATTTATTTGACTTTTCCAAACTTCGGATTTTTTTGGATAATTGATTCTTCTCTTCAACCAGGGATCCAAGCCGTCCTTGCATTTTTTTGACTTCCAATTCGGCTTTATTAGTACGTTCACCGTATTGCAAAACTTTTTCGTCGAAAGCTTTCCTCAGAATTGACATTTCATTTTGGACTCTATTTGCCAAACTTTGAAAAAGGGTATCGCTAAGAGCACTTAATTTGGCGTCGGAGTTCACCGCCTCCTTATCGATACGTGCAACAACTTTTTCGAGATCTGACACACGTTGCGCACATTGTTGTATATTATTTATGTTAATGATTTGTTGTTTAGCGACCTTTGCTGATGGTGTTGCGGGCACCTTTGTCTTCGATGTATTCTTTTTACAAACTGGGCTTGATAATAGTTTTACACGTACTTTATTTGACACTTTAACTTTGGATTTGACTTTAATAGATTTATCCTTTGGTTGATCACTCTTTGTCGTATTCTCGTTGGTGGACAAAAGTGAAACGTCCCATAAGATTTCCGAAAGATCCAGCGATGATAAATTTAAACTTTCGGCATCTTCTGACCCTTGGAAAATATCAGTATAGTCATCTCTAATCGTATCAGCATCTAGTTCGTTATTAACTTGAAGCCTATCTACTAGACTTTTTAGTTTAGGAAACTCCGTATTTTTCCATACAAGAGTATACTTCTGGGAGATTTCAACCTTTCTCTCGATCACCGATATTGTAATTGAAAATAACGGCTGATTATCGGTAGCATCAGCATTAGAGGTATCGTCTGGAACATTACTAACATGAATAATGATTTCAACAATTGTGTTTTCATCAAGTGGATGTGTTTTCCTAAGCCAGTTTACTCGATATTTTGATTGGTTGCCAAAATCCACCCAATACCTTAACATCAATGCTTTTATCCAAAAATCAAACCGAGATTCAGCAATCAGGAACTCATAACCATCATTTTTCTGGATTTTTCTACCTCTTTTTTTCTGATTTTTCTACCTCTAAACACCATGTCGTCGTTTGGAGGCAAATTTTCGTCATTCCCCTCTACTCTCTAGCTCTTCTGGAAAAACTTCACTTTTCGCACTCGTCGCCTCCCCCAAAACGGATTGATCACCCGTTTTACTCGAAAAAAGCTTCTTTAGTTACTTAGAATAATTTTTAGATTATGAAACCGGAAAATGCACGAAAGAACAGTAATACGATAAAAAACGAATCGGCGAAAACAATCGACGGCCATTTTGAAATGCGGCCATATTGAGCTATTATTTAGGCCTTCCCGATTGCGCTGGTAAAATCCAAACAAAGTTCTGGCAAAAAGGGCTAAAAAGTGCTCAAAAAGTGCTCACAATCTCAAAATAGTGCTCAAAAAGTACTCAAATTGTGAACAGTTTATACCTCTATAAAGATTTTCGTAATTTTTTTAAAATCAGCATTTTTAAAAATCTGTTTCCACGTCTTTCTCCATATATGGAACAAACTTCCGTATATGGAGTTGTTTACGACAAAAAAAAGAGAACGCGAAAAAGTTAGCGTTCTAATTTTTTAACCGTAATGTCATATGCAGCTGTACGGCTTTTCTTTTAGAGTTTTACCTAAATTATATATAGAATAATAGTATAATACACGTCAATGTTTAAACCTTATACCGAATTGTATGTTTTGTTAAGGGGTGGGGGGTGAATAGGTTTTCGGATCGTCTACAGTATAATATTGTGAATGATTCCGAATATTCAAAACGAATTGAATTCAAAGCAGTAATTATGTACTGTATAACGGTTTAAACGTAGGCCGTACAGCACACTGTCACTGCCACTGAGCCGAAGGATAAACCGAAAATTCACTTCTCTCCATCACAAGCTTTAATGTTCAGTCGATCCGCTACATTGAAAGATGAGTACTTGGCTATTTTTTGGCAGAGGTAACGAAATATATTGGCTGTTCTCGACAGTAAGTGTTTCTTTATGCGTTGGCCATCGGAATATAGTATAACTACATAAGCTTGATAGATGTAAGATAACGAGTTTCACAATCCTATTTTAAATACTATGGCTTCTGGCAGTTTTGCATCATATGTGTTTTCCAGTAAAAGCCCCATTTTCCTACTTCCCCAACGTGTAAATCCGCGAAATTGAAAAATCTTTATTAATAACAACAAAAATTTGTAATAGTAAACAGTATATTTTATTATAAAGGATTTTCGTTTTTCTACTGCTCCGTACTTCGTGTGCTCCGTGCTCCATGTGCTCCGTGCTCCGTGTTTTACTAATAGCCTTTTTCATACGTGCGTACACGCACGTAAAAGTTGAATTTGCTTTACATCCTACTTTATATGAAAGGTCATGAAATAACTAAATTTATAAAAGGACAGCATTCAGTTTTGTGTATGATTTAATGTGTATTTGTTAAGGTTATTTGCACTTATATGAAATTTTAAGGGAATTCAACTTTTACGTGCATGTACGCACGTATGAAAAACAAAATAGAAATTAGCAAATTTCGAAGGGCTAAATTTTCCTCATTTTACAACATTTCGCAACCAAACTTTGCAATTTTCAACTAATTCTAACATACTCTTTCTAGCTGTGGTGATGGCTTTTGTTTTTCTTGCCTAAATCAAAATTCAGTCTATAGCTCGAATCATCTATTATCATTCACTGAGCAAAGAAAAATGGCAACCATGGTGACTTTTGCTCAGTAAAAATTTAATTTTTACCGTTTAAAATTAAAATTATCATCTAATTTATTCCATTGCAATCTGTTTGAAAGATGAAATGATTTTTACAGTTGTCAATAACAAAAATAACTGAAACCTATTTCAGTCGTAATAACAGTTGTGTAACGCATGGCAGGTGTTTTTCTATATTTTTTCCCACAGTTCTACTGTATATTGCTCTCCCTAGATACAGCATTTCCTGCGTTTTCGATTGTCACTAGATAACTCTATTTGTTCTAAACTGTTACCTAAACTGTTATTAGTTAACTTAGTGGAAAACAAACAGTGGCCATACGGTGCTTAAATTATACTTCAATTTATTAACTATTGCAATCTTCAATTAAATCCAATCATTAAAGAAAATGAAATGTGTTTTTCTCAGTTGTCGATAACAAGATGTAAAAAATAATTGACTGAAAACAATTGTATAAGGCAATACACAAGGGTGGGTTGACTACAAAATTTTTGTAGTCCGCTATAACTACAGCTACTTCAAAAACAGTATGTACTTTGGAACAAAAATCGTTCTCTACTGACTACAGCTACAGCTTAAATAATGTAGCAAACTATTTCGCTATTTCGCTACTCTATACATGTATGTATCTTTTAATTTTACTGTTTTTGGAGTATCTATACTGGCTCAGACTGTAATTAAACCTATATAACAAATTGACTGGCGAGTAAATAAGATGGCACTTGCACAGTTGCATGGCAATATTTAAGCAAACCGTGTCTTAATAACATTCTATTCTATCAAGTTGCTAACAATTTTAAAAAGTAGCGAATAGCAGGGTTGCCAGGTGGTCTGAGCCCGAAAGAGCCAAATGCAACGTAAAAAGTAGCCAAATCCGGCCAAAAGAAGCCAAAATCGAAATTTAGAGTAAATCTTCCGAATTCAAGCGTTCAACACCGAAAAACAGTAAAGAAAAAACGAGTATTTTAACATTTTCGTTTTCCCTCCGTTCGGGGCGAACCGCGTAACCCAGGGAGAGGGTACTAATTCCGATCGAATATTTACATACATCCGGAATCCCGGATAAATGGATAATGTAATCGAACATAGCAGAGTTTATAACTGACTTTTACTGATGGATGGCAGACTATTTTTGAAAAGTTGCTTATTTCAGTATTTATTCAAAAAGAAGCCAAAAAGAGCCAAAAAATAGAAAGAAGCCAAACGAAATTTTTAGTAGCCAAACGAAGTCAAAAGAAGCCAAAATCGAGAAATTTGGCTCTTAACGCCAAACTGGCAACCCTGGCGAATAGCGATTCGCTGTTTGAAAAGTAGTCAACTACTTGGGCACATAGTAAAACGCGGACTGGATTGGACTGGTAAAACGAAGACTGGACTCTATTAGTAAAACGCGGACTGGACTCTATTAGTAAAACGCGGACTGGACTCTATTAGTAAAACGCGGACTGGATTCTATTAATAGTACTGCAAAATGGCACTCTACAAAATGGCAGCGAGCTTTAAAATCCGAACAAGTCTGAAAAGAAAGGCAAAAAGGGATCCAGAGTTGCCAAAGTTTGCGTGGAAACTTTTCAAAAAGAAAATAAGTTGGGTTGCGGTACGTTTGGGTCCGTATACCTAGCAAAATACAAAGGAAAGACCAGAAAAAGTGCCAGGCAAAAACAATAATATCGAGTTCATTGTCTCGCCGAAATCCTGTTTCGTGAAAGAAGCCGCACTGTTGAACAGTACAAAAGGCCACAGGAACATAATCCGGTTCCTTGAATTTTCAATAATGATGGAGTATTCTTGCTTCGATTTTCGCTCGTTTGGAGTTCCAAAAAGTCTTAGCACTCTAGAAGATTTTGTCCATTTCGCAGACGACGATTTTGACTCCTTCGCAGACTTGCTGTCAACATGTGCCAAAGAGTGTTGTCGAAGGTTTGAAATATTTGCACAACAAGAATATCGTTATCATTCAATAAATATTATGAATTAAGATAATCACTTTGCACTACTTAATTTTCATTCAGTGCATGCTTTTTCAAGTATATGATGTATCACATACTTTATGCCAAAGGCATGCAGGGTGAGAAAAGTTCGGGGAAGCCAAAACGATGATTTCATTGACATAAAAAATTACTAGTTGGTTTGTAAGTCGAGAGACCGACTTAAGCCAAAGTCAGCCGATTAAAACTTAGCGATGACGATTTGAAATATTTAACGAAGTATTAGAAATTAACATTATGATTATTTTATCTAAACTCTAAAAAACAGTTTTGGCCGACAAAGAATTTAGCAAGCGTCATGTATTTCGCGCCTGTACGCGCGAAATTTCTGACCCGTCACGCTTGTCAGGTATTTCGCAGAGGTCAGGAATTTCGCTTGACACTGGTGAGCGATATTCTTGTTGTACATATTTCAAACCTGCGACAACATCTTGGCCGCATGTTTGCAGCAAGTCTGCGAAGGAGTCAAAGTCGTCGTCTATGAAATGGACAAAATCTTCTAGAGTGCAAAGACTTTTTGCAACTCCAAACGGGCGAAAATCGAAGCAAGAATACTCCATCATTATTGAAAATTCAAGGAACCGGATTATGTTCCTGTGGCCTTTTGTACTGTTCAACAGTGCGGCTTCTTTCACGAAACAGGATTTCGGCGAGACAATGAACTCGACATTTTTGTTTTGGCACTTTTTCTGGTCTTTCCTTTGTATTTTGCTAGGTATACGGACCCAAACGTAATCAACTTATTTTCTTTTTTGAAAAGTTTCCACGCAAACTTTGGCAACTCTGGATCCCTTTTTGCCTTTCTTTTCAGACTTGTTGGGATTTTAAAGCTCTCTGCCATTTTGTTCCATTTTGGTCAAATTTTGGCGCGAAATTGTGGTCCTAGTCCGCGTTTTATTAATAGAGTCCAATCCACGTTTTACTAATAGAGTCCATTCCTCGTTTTATTAATAGAGTCCAGTCCGCGTTTTACTAATAGAGTCCAGTCCGCGTTTTACTAATAGAGTCCAGTCCGCGTTTTACTAATTTGAGTCCAGTCCGCGTTTTACCAGTCCAGTCCAGTCCGCGTTTTACTATATGCCAACTACTTGGCTACTTTTAAGCAAAATGTAGTTCGCTATAACTAACGCTACTTTTTTAAAAAAGTAGTAAAAAACTACTGGCTACTTGAAATTTGTAGTTCGCTACAGTAGCTACTACCCACACTTGGCAATACATGTG